TCTATTATGTTTTTAATAACTGATAAAGATACCACTAAAAAAATTAAAAAAATTATTTTAAGCTTGGGTTATGATTTTTGGCAAAAATAAACATTAAATACTTATATATTTTGTTTATAATAATAATTTCTTTACTCATGGTGGCATGGGGAATTAAAAATATTTTAAAAAATTTGAGTCATATGTAATTATATTTACATATTAGTTTATATATATATATATGTATATATATATATATATATATATATATATATATATATATATATATATATATATATTTATATATTTATATATATATACATATATATATATATATATATATATACATATATAAATATATATATATATATATATTATATATATACATATATATATATATATATATATATATATATATATATATATATATATATTATATATATATATATATATATACATATAATTATATATATGTATATATATATATATATATATATATATATATATATATATATATATATATATATATATATACATATATATATATACATATATATATATATATATATATATATATATATATATATATATATATATATATATATATAAATATATATATATAAATATATATATATATATATATATATATATATATATATATATATATATATATATATGTATATATATATATATATATATATATATATATATATATATATATATATATATATATATATATATATAATATATATATATACATATAAATATATATATATATATATATATATATATATATATATATATATATATATATATATATATAATAATATATATGTTAATATATATATAATACATGCTTTTTATTTTTTAGCTCTTTAATGCTGTTTCTATGACATCAGTTTTCTCATACCTTCCTCACCTTGTAAAGGTTTGTTATTTTGTTAATGTTTTATACTATTAGTTTTACTTAAAAATAGTTTAAAACGTTTAAAATTGCGTTATATGTGTGTATATATAACTACATTTATACATACACAAATTTGACATGATTTTAGTCAAATTTTTATATGTATAAATTTATTCATAGATCCACACTTTTGTGAAAATTTGAAATGTTGATTGCATTTAATTTAATCGCAAATCTTACCATTAAATGCTCACCATTGCAGTGTGTTTTTATAATAATTACTATGTTAAAAGTACATCATTATAAAATGCAAGCACCTATATTTAAAAAGATTAGCTTTTCACCCTGAGTTCCAAAATCTAAAACTAGCTTTATATCATCTATGTTTCAATTGGTACGCAAGTATCTTCCGAAGGAATTAAAAACTATATTGATCTTAAAAATCAACCGGTACTTGTTAGCAGTTGTGATGAAACTGGATTGTCGCCGGTATCATCTCATTCGGTTAAAGTTTTATTGAAAAAAGGCACACAACAAATTCAAAAACGAACCATAGTTGAGATAGGAATTATAACAAACTTAATGGATACTATTAATGTATTATGGAATAATTTACCACCAATTTGATTTTTAAGGGAAACTAATTCCTGATTTTTCCAAATTCTCAACAGGAACCTCTTTAAAATGTAGTTAATCAGGTTTCTTTCATGAACAAAACATTTTTATTGGCTTTTTAAAAAATTTCAATAATTACCGACAAAGATTAATATGAACAAAATGCTTACTCTTTTTAGATTGCCATAAAAGTCACATTTCTTTGAATGCTGTCAAATTCTGTATCCTTAACAACATTGAAGTAGAATTTGAAGTAGCAGTAATAGTTTGCGATCTCTGGTCACACTATACTAAGCTAATAAAATAAAAATGGTCAAAGACTTTTTCCAAATAGCTCTCTGGCAGATCATCTATCTTTACCTCGTGATTATTTTTATCTTGTTTGTAACAATGTATGCAAAGAGATGGTTGTCAGAAGAGAACATATTGAGGGTTGTACCCTATCCACTACACTGTAATGGAACATGAATATAAAAAAAGAGAGTTATATAGAGATAACAACAACTTTTAGTAAAGAAATACAATTTTTCTAATACTAAGAATAACTGTTGCTTCTCCGAAGTAGATTCCCAACTCACACAAAACCTCATTTTGTACACATAACAAGCGTTGAAAACACTGAAATATTGAAGAAAAAAGAAAAAATAAAGAAAACAAAATGTGTTATATAATCCAAATGATTCGAAAAAGAAGAAGTTCTTCACCAAATAAAAAATAACAAATGGTTCGAAGAAAAGTAAGTTTTCACCAATCCAATAAAAAAAAGTAGTTCAATGAAGAAGCAACTCCATAGTTTAAATTCGTTATTAAATTAAATGCATATATAATGATAAATGATCTTGCTTCAGACAACAACAAGAAAGTTTGGAAATTGAATTTAGTGAAACTTAAAAAAGCTAAGACTTTAATAAGATGTGCTAATGTTGTTAAAAATATTGGCGATTTGAATAAAATGCCAACAGAACAGCATGTCATTGATCAAATTAAAAATTTTTTTATCAAAAAGAGACTGAACTATTTGAGAGAAAGCTGAATATTTCAATTCTTCATTGGAAATCAGCATGAAACAAAAAAATAAAGTCTATTGAAAAAAACAAATATTAACAAATGAAAGAGTTGGATATTGTACTGATAGATCCTGATAAGATACTGAATGTATTAATCCAAGAAAACATGTTGCGAAAGAAACGTCGATCACCAAGACCAAGATTTAGATGAACCAGTGAAGGACGTTATTCAAACACTAAAAGAAATTTTTCATCATCATCTGAAAGGCAAATATCAAATTTAGCAGTAAATTTAGTGATTCCTGCAAAGATTAGTACCGAAAAAGCAAATGAAGTCTGCAAAACTCTATAAAAAGGTGGAACTTCTATTTCTGCTCTAACTTAAGGTGGTGTCTACAAAGTTGTCATGAAAGAAGCAGGAAAGCTAAAAGCAAATTCTATGAAGAACATAAAACAAGAAATTGCACTTTACACTTTTATGGAAATGGTGCATCAAAAGCTTATTAAAGAAAAAGCGAAAAAACAACTAATTGATGTGTGTGCGGTGTGGCATGAGTAGATTCATCAGAAGACTGACTCCAATGCATTTGTTGTTATGGCTTGGCATGTGAAGTCTGCTTTTGCATCAACATGTGCACAGAATATGCTTAATTTAATAAAGTATAATAAAGCTTTTGTTTTTTTATATTGGTGAAATCGCCCATAATAGGCAAAATATAAATATGTAATACAAATTATTGTTCATTAGTATAAATGATATATCTTTTTTTAATTTTTAAAGGCGGTCAAACTAAATATAGTTTATTCAATATTGTTCAATTAATTGTATACGGTAAAAGTGTATCAGGTTGAACAGACATAATTAAAGCAGCAAAAGTGGTAAAATTGCCTTGGTCTACCATATATTTAATAGATGCGTTTTTAATGTTAAACACCTTCAAATATTTTTTTGACTGTTGGTTATAGAAATAAACTTGATTGAGGAAATAAAAATATATGTATATTTTTTCTGTAGAAAATGTGCACTTTTTTTAGGACTTTGGTTCCACTGAAGTTGATGCAGGTAAGATATAATATTAATGTAAACAAAAAAATCTGTTTTTTTTATATGTCTTAACTATATATTTTATATCATTATTCAAGACATCTTTACATATTTATATTGCATATTAAAAATGCAAATATTTAGCGTTATGCTAAATATTTACAAAGAATAAGAGATAATGGTAGTATTAGTGATAGGGGGAAAGTATAAATGTTATTTTTAACTTAGTAAGTTATTTACTTTTATTTTTTTTCAACCTCAGGTTGAGGTTTAAGTTCACCGGTGTTAAATGACTTAAAATGCCCCATGGACGGAAAGTCTATATCTATGGTATTTTTGAATGCACCATTGAAAATAATCATCTTTAACAACAATTGTTTAGTTTTTGAATGCATCTCCAACCCCAATAAAATTTTGAAGTTACATTAATACGTAACGTAAACTAGATTTGTTACGTTACGTAATAAATGCCCGTTATTTTTACGTAACGAGACATAACATCTTAAATAATGATACGCAAAAAAAGGGGGATCCATTTGAAACTGTTTTTGAAATTTTTATTGGGGATTTTACCAGTAATAACATTTGATCTAAAAACAGAAAACTTCAAATTTAGGAAGATTTTTAGACCCCCCTTCTCCTAACAAAATTTTAAGGTGTTAAGCAACTTTTTTATCCACTAATTGTTATTATTAATTAGTGGGGTTTACTAAATTTAATTATTATTCATTAAAAATTAATTATGCGAAACTTTAATTATTTACCACGTTTTGTACATACTTCAGAGAAGATTTTTTTAAATATTGGTAAGTATACATTTAATAACGTTACTAAAATGTTAATATTTTGTTTTTTTAAATTTTATTTCAATTGATTTGAGTAATATGCTTCTTTAAAGCTTTTTTGATATTCTTCCATAATTTGAGCAAGTTGTTCTCTCTCTATACTGGATTAAAACATTTGTCTTCTAAGTTTACTATAAACTTGATACTTTGCTCTGCAATCTCGTGGACGCAAGAAAGATTGCTTTTTTTTGCAGCATTTAAGTCCTCGAATTTTTTCCAACGCTCTGATGAAACTTTTAGCCATCTTTGTCGTCTGTTTAACTTTAACGGATGAAAAAGCAATCAGGACATTTAATGAAAGACGGTAAAAAATATTTTTCTTTGTTGGAATCGTTATTAAAACTCTTGCAAATAATATCTTTCCTGTACTTTCTGAACTATTGATCTGTTATTCATCACCGGTGTGTTCCCTGATAATTAAAAAACTGCTTCTATTATTCCAATTCATAATAAAGATTCAAAACTTGAATGAAATAACATCAGACCAATTTCATTATTATCAAATGTCAGCAAACTTTTAGAAAAACTTATGTATTCTCGTATTTACAAATATTTTAATAATTCTGCTTATTTTCATATTCGACAGTTTGGGTTTCGCTTAAATCATTCCACTTCTCATATTCTTATTAGCATTACTGAAATGATTCGTGGTACAATTGACAGTGGTTTCTTTGTTTGTGCTGTATTCATAGCCCGACGGGCATTTGTTTTTAAAAGTTACGTTCTGAATGTGTTTTAAATGTCTTTTAAACGTCTTTTTAAACATTAATGTTTAAAAGACGTTTAAAAGACATTTAAAACACATTCAGAACGTAACTTTTAAAAACAAATGCCCGTCGGGCTATGAATACAGCACAAACAAAGAAACCACTGTCGATTGTACCACGAATCATTTCAGTAATGCTAATAAGAATATGAGAAGTGGAATGATTTAAGCTTAAAAGACATTTAAAATACATTTAGATTGTAAAAGACATTTAAAATACATTTAGATTGTAACTTTTAAAAAGAAATGCCCGCCGGGAGATCTTTAAAAAGTTTTTGATACGGTTGATCTTAACATTCTAATTAAAAAGGTTATAAAACTACTATGGAATACGTGGTATTGCTAATCATTGGTTTTCTTTATATATTAGGGATCGCACTCAGTTTGTTTTAATTAACAGATTTAAATCCACACAAAAAGTTAACTATGGCGTTCCACAAGGTTCTGTTCTTGCACCAATACTGTTTTATTATATATTAATGAATTATTTTGCTTGTCTAAAAATTCTATGGTACTTCATTATGGTGATGATACCAATCTTTTATATGTACAATTTTTTATATATACAAATCACTTACAATTCTTTGCAAAGTTAACCAAGATCTTCATCGCTTATGTAACTGGTTAAATAGTAACCGTATTTCCTTGAATGCCAATAAAACTGAAAACATTATTTTTCATTCCCCTCAACAAACTATTGATACTTTTATAATCAAAAACAACTTTTCTCATCAAAATATATAAAGTATCTTGTAAAATATCTTGATGAAAACCTATCTTGGTATAATCAACTGTATCATCTTAAAAAAAACTTACACAAGCTAACAGTAGGCTTTCTCTAATTCGTTACTATGTTCCTATCCTTACTCTTCGGATGATTTATTTTTCTTTTTTCTCTTCTCACCTTTGCTATTGTTGTATTGTTTAGGGTCAAAAAAAAAAACTTTTCACTTAATAGCATTGTTAATTTACGATGCTCAATAGCATTGTTAGTTTACAATCGCCAATGAGATCTGATATCCATAAAAAACCTTTTAAACTAAAAGTCCTAAAACTTCATTATCTGGTAAAGTTTTACAATTGTTTTTTTGTGTTTGACTTTCTCCAAAATAAACTACCAAACTCTTTTTTATTTAAAACGAATGAAATTCATAATCATCAAACCAGAGATACAAAAAATAGTAAGCTATTTAGCTAAATAGTATTTTATTTTCAACACAATTAAATGTTGTATGTTTTCCATAAAACAACAATGTACTTACGATTGGAACCAGTGCACAGTGGGAAATCACATGACCAAAAATCAAAAAAGTGACTTACTTCAAACATTATGTCTTATAGTGAGTTTTGTTACTAATACCCTCACTAAGAAATTTCCAATTTATGAACTTCTAAATGTGACAGGTTCAATGGTAACTGATTTTAAAATACATAATTAATTTAAAAAAATAATTCTGAAGTGCATTTTTAATGTCCCACTAATCGACCAAAAACCACCTGAGTTTTTAAATATTAAAGATTTCTTTTAACTTTGTAAGTTAATTGTTGAAAAATAAGATAATGGAGGAAATCAGTTTAAGACAAGTTGTGCAATGTTTTCAGGTTTCAAAAAACACTTTTGATAATGTAAATAGTGGGTTTGAATACATTATTACTAGGATTCAAGTCAGAGAAGACAAAATAAATATATTATGAAAAAGATTAAAACTAACTCTTTCAAAGTATATTGCACTATGGCATGCATCATATCGAAAAAAAGAAATTTTTGATAGTAGAAATCAGGTTTGGCTTAATTCAGTTTTTAAAACAAATGATTTAGTTGAACCACCAGGTAATCACGAAGGTTTAATAAATGAATCAGCAAAATGTAGTCGACCTACAAAAAAGTTCGATGAATTGAGTTCTCACACCAAAAAACGATTGATAGCAAATTTATAATTTGATTCAAAAAAGGAATCCGTCGAGAATTATTGTTAGTGGCGCAAAGAATAGCATTTATTAAACGTGACGTTAATTTAGTCAAGTTACTTAGTATCATTACGAAGAGACGGCACGAATCGTTACTTCTTTACACTCAGCTAAGCACGTTGCAAGAGAAAATGACGTCTGAAGAAGCTTTTGCTTTTATTAGTTACATTTTTTAGTTAACAAACTTATAAAAAGTGCTTATGAAAGTACTCATAAAAAAGCACCATACAGATTTCCATCTTATCGAATAATTTCCGAAATAAAAAACGAGTGCTCACCTTTAAAAACATCCATTAAACTTAGTGAAACAAAGGCCAAAGTAAAACTACAAGATCTTATGGATCACACATCCAAGAGGCTTGTGAAACTACAGGAAAAGGAAATTCTAACACATTTGGATAATAAAAAAAAGACTTTGATGAATTAATACTAATTAGTATTAACTAATTGGGATATGGACGGAACATCAAGTCAAACAAAATACCATCAAAGTTTTAATAATTCCAATCAAAATAACCTTCAAGATTCGGATCTATTAGTTACAGCTACATCACCTCTTCGACTACATGTACAATTAGATTCAAACAATATTTTATGGAGTAATATAATGTCTCAGAGTATTAGATTCTATAGACCAATTATGCTGGAGTATATAAAGTAAAGCAAAGAAGTAGATTAAAAATTAAGGAGGAAATTGATAAAGAAATTCGAAATTGACATCCTGGTAAAGTTTATCTTCCATAAATATGTTTTTATCAACTATAGTTTTGTCCTTTCAATAATTGATGGGAAAATCTTAGTTTACATCACGAACACATCTTTGACATAATGTTTTCCGATTTGTCACGCCACACCTAACATAATGAGCGATCTAAAAATCTTTATGGAAATTTTTGTTACAGATGGGCAGGCATTGTGCTACGGCATTTCACTACTTCATGCTTGGATTAGGTTTTTTGAATTTATTTTACATATTTCATATAGATTTGAAATGAAAACTTGGAAAGTAAAAAAGGTTTTAAAAGACCAATATTTATTGAAAAAAAAAATTATTCATGATAGGATATTTGAAGAATTCGGTTTGAGAGTTGAAGACCAAGAGCTGGTGGATCAGGAACTGGTAATACCGGAAATTTATGCCGACGAGCTTTCTCTGACCCTCTATTACTCAGCAAAATTTTAAAAATAGATAAAGAAATTATAACCAGATTACGTAACATTCTTATTGCAATCAATTGCAAAGACCCAATTGATCCGGAAAAAATTGATAAATACTGCAATAATACATATAAGAAATTGTTAGAGACATATGATTGGTTCAAGGTCTCAGCTCCGTTCACAAAGTATTAGCACATCCTGGGGAAATTATTACTTATTCACTAGTTCCACTTGGTTTAATGCAAGAAGAAGCAGTTGAATCTCGACACAGAATTTATAAATTCGATCGTGAACATCATGCAAAGAAAAAAAGTAGAGAAACAAATTTGTTAGACATTTTCATTTGAGGTATAAATACTTCTGACCCCCTAATTAGTTTAATCTCATTAGTTAAAAGATTGAAAAGTAAGAAAATATTGTGTCTACCGGAAAAAGTTAAAAGTTTGTTAGCAGTTTAGAGCGATGATAGAGAAAATTCATCTGAAATGGAATCAGATGAAATTAATGACTTAGATGAATTATATTTAAATGTTGACAACATTGGCGAAAATCTAGAATTAGATATAGATGTAGAAGAGTAAAGTTCTAGAATTATATATAGATGTAGAAGAATAAAGTTTTAAACTGTATTATCTGTATAATGTATAAATTTACATTTGATTTCCTGCTATATAAATTTATTGAATACATAAAAAATACTAAATAAAATATTATAAAAAATGCAGTAACTTGGTTTTAATCGCTGGCGTTTGGAAACAAGTATATCCCAAAAGTTTATTTGTTATTTTTTTTTTTTATTATTAGTTTTATTATTATTTATTATATGTTTAGAAGAATTAAAATGACAGAATTTAATCCTCATTTAATAATCTGTTAAAGTTATAAAAAATATGATGAGGTTTTCAACCTCATAACATAATTACAAATTGCACCCTCATAACATAATAATTACTTAAACCCTCACAACATAATAATAACTTACACCCTTATAACATAATCATAACTTACAGAGAATAAAAGGTTGTTCAATGCAATTTAAAAACCTTTCAATGATTTTAAATTTAGTATCAGATAGCAGCAAAAATCTTTTTTTAGACTCATTGCCCTCATTACTATTATTATTAATATTATTGTTACTTTTTTTTTTTGGGGGGGGGGGGGGGAGAGGGGGCTAACCTTTTAGAGAATTTTTGATCCCGAGTTTCTCTCACCACAATTTTTTTCAAAACATAATTTGACTTGAGTCTGAACATAACAAATTTGGAGCATTGTAGAATTATCCATTGTTTAAACAATGTTCGAAAGTATAACAAAGAAAAAAAGTGGATTTTCCCACCCCGTTGATGCACCTGACCTGTTTAAATACAAAAATAAAAAAAAACATTATCTTAAATATCTATTTTATTGAATTAAGGCTTAATATCCTCATAAATACAACGGTTATATTTTCGGCCACCTATTTCAATGGAATGTTCCCACTGTGCAGTGTATTCCTGCATTATTAAAAAATCTTAAAACAAATATTCCCTTGTTACGGATTATCTACTGCTCAACAGAACTCAATTAAAAAAAATATTGTTAGAGTGTATTTCTTTATAATTTCTCTCTGTACTGTAGTTGTCTTTATTATATAATATCTTTAACAAGGAAGTGGTTTGAATTTTGCTGTATTTATTATTTATCTATGTTATATTTATATATTATTCTGTTAAAATTACTACTTTTAATGTTATTATCATATTTAATTATTATCTATGATATGTACATACAAATTATATTTTATTATAAATATTTTCAATCTTATTGATACTTTATTATTATTGTTATTATTTTGTATTATTACTATAAATACTATATATATACCATTATTATTTGTCGAACAAACTTTTCTTTTTTTCTCTCTTATTTATATAATATATATATATATATATATATATATATATATATATATATATATATATATACACACACATATATATATATATATATATATATATATATATATATATATATATATATATATATATATATATATATATATACATACATATATATATATACATATGTATATATATATATATGTATATATATATATATATATATATATATATATATATATATATATATATATATATATATATATATATATATATATATATATATATATATATATATATATATATATATAAGAACATTTATATATATATATATATTTATATATATATATATATATATATATATATATATATATATATATATATATATATATACATATAATATATTATATATAAGAACATATAATTCATTACATATTGATTTAACATTCGAAATAGGTGTTTATAGGTGATAGGTATTTTAAATTCGAGATAGGTGTCGTATTGAATTCTATTCCCTGTTTGAGGGCATTTCTGGGTAGCACTTCAAATAATATTCTGATGTATGTGGGCCCTGTTTTTGATGTCATTGGGAAAGGATTTTTTTTTTCTCGTATATCATAGTTTTAGATTAAACTTGCAGTTGTTTTTCATACGGTAGATTGACTTCACAAGTTGATTGTTGACTATCAGTTGTCCCGAAATCTTGCAATTGATTTTCACTATCTTCTAGACTAGTTAAAGCTCTGGAGCTTCCAGCATTTACGTAAATTTAATAAAAGTGTTAATCTTAAAAATGCTTTCAAAGCATTTTTAAGAGAGAGATCCATTGTTTTGAATCTCTTTTTTCTTTTTGATTATACTTTATCTGTTAGATTTTCCTTTGATTTTACTTTATCTTGATAGCATTTGTGTATTCCCGATGAACCTGCATGTTAAATTTGTTTTCTGGGCAAAAAGGCTCTTGTTTTTTTTCTGTAAAACTTTGTTTTTCTATAATGTTGGTGTTTATTACTTTTGAAATATAGATTTTTTTCGCAAAAAAGTTTTGAAAAGACATTTAAATGCCTTTTTAAAGCTTATTTAATAAAATAAATACTTTTTTCAATTTATATGTTTTAGTATTAATTTTTAAAGACAAACACTCAAAAAAAAACAAAGCGTCCTCAATATTTAACATTTGGCAATCTAACTTGCAAAACTTGCAAATTTAAATGCTTAATGTACCAATATGCTAACTCAAATGCATACATAACAGCTTGGAGGTGGATATACCCTCTACACCTCCGTTTAGGATGACCCTTGTCGTAACAACTACTCCAACAGAAATGAGATTAATTTTTTTTTGTTTATTTATCAATAGTTATTAATGTTTGGAATGAACTTATTTTAAATATGTCTATTCCAGACAACAATTTTTAGTTAGTCATTTTCAGAAATAATTTAATTTTGGTTAGATTGGTTCTTAACAACAATACATTTGTGATGTGCAAATTTTTTCTTTTATTTGTCATGAGATTTTTATTTGTTATTAAATTAAGTTAACGTTAACGTTAACGTTAATTTATTTTAAGTTATTATAAGAAGTATATGTGCAACAGCATATTAAATTTGCTGACACAGTATGGTCAACAAATATAAATGGAGATTTTTCTAATTTCAAAGAAGTTCAAAAATGAACAACTAAAATAGTTTCCATTAGTTCTGAAGTTCAAAAGATCGCCTTTTCAAACATAGTTTAACAACCCTGGATCAAAGATAATCTAAAAAAGACATATGTAAAAAATGTTTAAAGAAATAAAAAAAGTTGAAAATGTTAATATACCGTTTGTTTAAAAGTTTAAACACTAGAGGTCACAAGTTCAGATATGATAAAAAATATTTTTAGCAATGTAATTAGACATAACTTCTTAGCAAATAGGATTGTGCCATTATGGAATTTTTTATCGGAAGAATCTGTCAAGACAAAATCTTTGAAGGATTTTATAGTTACTTAAAAGATATTTGCTTTTGCTTTTTTCAATATTTAAAACTTTTAATTCTCGCTGAATTTTTAAAAATATATGCAAACAAGGTATTGCTATTTTGAAAAGAGTACATCATTGTGCAACTTCAAATTCAAAAGTAGAACTATATTATGAACATTATGCAATAATTGTAGCATCAAAGTAACTTGACAATGTAATAATTTTCTTTGAGCTACATTTTACATACCTAACTATTATTTAGTTCATTAACGAGACGTTTAATAATTTTTTGATATTAAAACATTATTTTCTAGGAAGAAAATCTGGAATTGTTGCATCAGCCTTGTTTATTTCTAGAATATTTAGCAGGTATAGTAATAACTTTTTGTATTTGTATTCACCATATTAATACATGTAAAGAAGATAGAAATATAACTTTGTAGTTAATAAATTCAAGTCAAAAAATAATCTACTTATACAGTCTTTAGCTGACAGTTTGTTGTTATTAAAAAATTTTATAAAATAGTTATAAATTTATTCTTACCATTTTATTAAAATTTGTTTTCTTCTACTTATATACGCAATTGGAAATATTTATATTAGTTAATTACTGGCATAGCTGCGAAGCAGTTGCAAAAACTGGCATAAGTGCGTCATTGTATAAGTGCGCCAAAAAAAATTTTTGGAAACATTTGCATAAGTACAAACTGGCACAAATGCAAAGCAATTGCAAAAACTTGCATAATTACAAACGAGCATAAAAGCGAATTTGCTTAAGTGAACCAAAAAAATTTGCAAATAATTACACAAATGCGAACTGGCATAGGTACGAGGCAGTTGCAAAAACTGCAAGAAGTTCAAATCTGTATAAATGCAAACTGTCAAAAGCGAAACTGCAACCAAATTTGACATTAGTACGAACATGCGAAACTACGCCCTATAAAATTGCTAATATTAACATAAACTCGAATTGGTAATTCGAATCATACCAGTTTGCACTTGTGCCAATGTTTGAAATTTTTTTTCAACTGCTTTGCAGTTATGCCAGTTTGCACACATCAAAAACGAGGCATAAAAACTAATAAAACTAAAAGAGTTTAGTTGATTTTTTATTATTGTTCGAAAATATAAATTATGTATATGAAAGAAACTTTTCAGCACTAAAATTAATTTTGAGGCACACCCATATTTTCTTGTATTTCTTTGAAATTTATTAACTTTAGTTTGGTGCTTATTTGTACAACTAAAAATATCCGGAAAGAAAAGTTTAAATAGTAGTCAAAAAAAAAAATAATAATAATAATAATAAAAAATAAAAGAACAAACAGTTAAAGAATTATTAAAATTTCCAATATTACCAGGTTTTTTCAAAAGTAAGTGAACCATTCAAAGAAATAACCTGTTCGGAAGCGGTAAATGTTACTGATGATGTAGAACTAATTTATAATTATACTGCTGAGGGCAGCATACCGTATGTCTAGCCAAATATTTTGTTGAAGATAGAAAAAAGCTCTGCATGCAAGAGGATATTGTCTAAAATTACTGATAATATTGATGTAAGAGTAAAACTTTTACTATAGCGATATAGGATTTTGGTCAAAATTATCTACTTCGGCCATCATTGTTTCTCCATAATAAAGCATCGAATAATATTCAGAACCTAAGCTAAATTATAAAGATCAAAGCAGATTTTTTTTTTAATAACTTTTGAGTTAATTCATAAAAAACGGTTGAATAGATTTATAATTCTGGTTTGGTTTTCCTTCATGCAAAGGAGCATCATTTTGTTTACTATGTAAATTATATCCTATTCTGGAAATATTGAAGCGAAGTCATATGAAAGTTATAGATATTCCGATGAAGAATCTGATAACCACAAGAAAAATGATTTACACATGATGAATAAGAGCACAAATGAGTCAAAAGAACAGACTACTAAAACTGAAATATATTACTACAATATTTTAAAACGGGTAGTAGCTGCTACACTTTATTTTGCTACTACCACCTTACACGATTAGTGAGGCTCCTCACACAATTGAAACTTTATTTTTAAGGAACTGTATATGAAGAGATATTGTAGCTCACAGAAAAAAATGTTTTAAAACAAACTATTAAGCAGATAAACGGCACGCCAGACATTGCTTATACTGATCAGCTGGCACTAATGTTAAGATTCTGTTAAAACAGAAAAATATTTGAACAATTTACAACCTTTCTACAAATCAATAAACACACCATTAAGAAATTATATACACAAATATTTCAGTTTTTAAAAAAAATCTTTTTTTGAAAACATCCAATATGTGCAATAGGGTGTTGAATTTCCGACAATTTTTCGAAAATGGTTTCGTTACATGCTTAACGGGGTAAATAATGGGCAAAAACAAAGTCTGTAAAGTTTAAAAAATTTTAAAAATTATCTAGAAGTCGCCGTCTTGAAAAAGAAGTGTTTTAGATCCTTTTTTCAATTTCAAATTTAAATTACTTAAAAATTAATTAATTTCAAGTAATGTTACTTCGTGTATGAAATAAAGTATCTAGTAAAGGTTTTCGGACTAACATTTTCCTGAATTTTCAAAAAAATTGGGTAACGTCTAAAGGTCGCCGTATTATAAAGTTTAATTTTTTCATCATTTTTCATCAAACTTTACACAAGACATACAAGAAAAAAAAAATCTCGAATTAGAAAAAAAAATTATATCAAAATCAGCAAGCAGAGATACGGAAGATAATAAACTAAGGCAGGTTGAAGATAGACAAAGAAGGAATAATCTTAGAATAGAGGGATTATCGGAAAATGAAAAAGAAAATTGGGATGAAACCGAACTAAAGGTACTAAATATTTTTGAAGAAAAACTTAATTTAAAAGGAATTGTTATTGAACGGGCGCACAGGTCAGGAAAATATGTAGCAGGTAGACCAAGATCAATAGTAATGAAACTGTTAAATTACAAAGACAAAGTACAAGTTTTAAAAAGTGCGAGTAAACTAAAAGGATCGGGAATATATATCAACGAGGATTATTCTTTGGAAACTGCATCTATCAGGAAAAAACTTTTCGAGCAAATGAAGATACATAGGAAAAATGGTATGTTTTCGGTTGTAATTTACGATAAATTAATAGTAAAAGAATTCAGGAAATTACCTTCAAACCTTTAATTATTTTATACTCTATATATTTTGTTAGTATAACCTTTCGTGTTGTTATGGAAGATATAAAATTTCATGATTTAAGCTTTAAGGCTTTCCAAACAAATAAAAATATACTTTTAGAGAAAAATTCAGATCCAGATGTTAATTTTTTTAACACTGATGAAATCATTAAAAATATATGTCCTTCTTATTATAATTCTGATATTTCTAATGTTACTGCAAATTTGGATATTAATGCATTCTCTATTTTACACCTAAATATTAGGAGCTTTCGTAAAAATTTTGATAAATTTAAAGAATTTTTATTTGGTATTGAAATTAATTTTAAAATTATTTGTCTCACAGAGACCTGGTGTCGAGATAAACAAATTGAAAAAGATTCAAATTATCAACTAAAAAACTATACAGTTATTCATCAACTCAGAAACTCTGAGACAATAGGTGGAGGAGTATGTATTTTTATCCATAATTCTTTAAATTTTAAACCGCTAACCGAGTTTAGTGTAATTAGTAATGATTGTGAATCTTTAACGATCGAAATTTTAAATAAAGTCACAAAAAACGTCATTATACATGTCGTGTACAGACCGCCATCTGGCAATAATAAATTTTTTGAAAAACACTTTAAAAAATTAATTAAAAGCAAAGTTTTATGTGACAAACGTGTCTTCTTTGTGGGAGATTTTAATTATAATGTGCTTGATTACGACACAAATAAAAATGTTAAAAATTTTATGAACATCATATTTCAAAATGGATTTATTCCAACTATAAATAAACCAACACGAATTACTAGAAATAGCGCAACTTCAATCGATCAAATAATAATTAATGAATTTACAAAAAACAAAATAAAAACTGGAATAATAATATCCGATATATCGGATCATTTCCCAATATTTATAATTGCACATAAAAGTGTCGAACACACCCCTCACAAAAAAATATTAATTACAAATCGAGTATATAATGACATTTCTATGGAACTTTTTAATAATTCTTTATTTTCTGAAAACTGGGACGATATTTTACAAATTCAAACTGCAGAAACTGCTTATAACAGTTTTCTTCGGATATTCAAAGATCATTATGATAAAGCTTTCCCGGTGGTAACAAAAATTATTAAAACTAAAACATTTATAAACCCCTGGATTACACCAGGAATAATAAAATCGTCTAAAAAAAAACAACGTTTGTATGAAGTATTTCTGAAAAAAAGAACCTATGTAAATGAACTAAGGTATAAAAAATATAAAAGTCACTTTGAATCAATTATAAAACTTTCAAAAAAGTTATACTACTCAAATAAAATAATAAAATTCAAAGGTGATACTCAAAAAACGTGGCAAGTCATTAAGGAAGTAATTGGAAAAAAAACAATTATGTTAAATGGTCTTCCAAAAAAGCTCAATTACAATCATAAAGATATTACAAAAGAATCTCTAATTGCTAAAACGTTTAATGACGTATTTGTCAACGCAGGTCTAAATTTAGCATCCAAACTTAAACACAGTGATTTTAACAAAGAGAAATACTTGACTCCTAGCAAATCAATAATGGAAAATGCGGAGTTAACCGAAAAGAGTTATTAGATGCTGTTCTTTCATTAAAATTAATCAAATCACAAGGAGTTGATAACATTAGCAGTAATGTCATAATTAAATGTATCTTCTATATTAAAAAAATATTTTTGCATATATTTAATCTTTCGTTTAAACAAGGAATCTTTCCAAAAAAACTTAAAATTGCAAGGGTAATACCAGTTTTTAAATCTGGAGATAATACTAATATTTCTAATTATAGATCTATTTCCATTCTTCCTTGCTTCTCAAAAATACTAGAACGCAATATGTATAACAAATTATATTCATATTTAGAAAAAAATAATATTCTATATAACAAACAATTTGGCTTCAAAACAGGACACTCTACTGATCATGCAATTCTTCATCTTGTTCAGATTATTTTTCAAGCTTTTGATAAAAACAAGTTCACTTTAGGTGTTTTCATAGATCTAAGTAAGGCGTTCGACACAGTTGATCATAGTATTTTAATTAAAAAATTAGAGAACTACGGTATCAAAAATATTAACATAGCTTGGTTTAAAAGCTACTTATCTAATAGAAAACAGTATATTTCATTCGGTAATAAAAAAACTAACAATATGACAATTACTTGCGGCGTTCCTCAAGGATCTATATTAGGACCACTCT